TATCAACTATTCACTATTTGTTGGATTTAAAACCACTAATCCAAACGTATAGAAGTTGGGCCACCCGTTCACACGTGTGCCATGAAGTGAAGGAAAAGGTGAAAATGAAAGATTATAACGTGAATTGAATTAATAGTTGATGTTAACGTATAACAAACACTCCACAAAACAAAACCCATTTGATAATTACTCATTACCAAATCTAAATTAATAGTATAAACTACTACGTGTTTATGTTTAGGCACTAAGTTAACCTCAATTATGGTTCAAAAAATTGAAAGCATTTTTTATATCATCAAGAGCAATAAAGTTAGACGTCTAAGTTTTGATATTGTTACTTAAAACGCCGGTTTAATAACATTGTAGTTGTTGATTTTGTTTTTATTGCCAAAAAATTATTAGAATTAAAATTAAAATTACAAAGAGATTAATGAGTTAAAAAATTAATTAATTTTGATCGTTAGCTTTAAAAATATATAATTAATAAGTTGTTGATTTCTATTTTTGATTTTGGAATTTAATTTTTAATTTTAATCTTTTAAATTTTTGTAATAGAAACAAAAAAATTCAATAATAATAACGTTATTAAGTAGGTGTTATCAATTTCAAATCAACTTATAAGTGACATTTCTAAATAACAATAATTAATTATTAATAAAAAAGTTATAAATTAATAAAATTAGTCAAATAAAATATATTAGATTTTTTTTAAAAATTAAAATTTTAGTGTCTCAAATAATTGTAAAAATCCAAAAAAAAATATCAATCAGAAATTTAAAACGAATAGACCCTTTCTCCTTTCTTTTTTTTCTTTTTGTTAATTTTGTTGGGGCATGAAATATTCAAATTTTGAGGTTGTGGGTTTGCTGTTGCTGACTTGCTGTTACATCAAAAACTAATGTCTCTCCTTGCCGTGTACGCACACTCTTCAAACTTCAACACAATCCATGCCTTCTCCAATACTAAAAGGCAATGCTAATAATGCTTTCGAAACATAAAAGCTAAGTAAGAAAGATTTTTTTTTTTTTGG